TCGCTCAACCATCTGCCATGCCAGGAAAGCCAGCTAAGCGAAACGATGTGACATTACTGGGTTTTGATGTACACATGTCGTGAGATGTGAAACAGAAGTGAACAGCCGGAACGGAAGGACCTTTGGGAACCTTTCTCTTGCGATTGATATGCAAGAACCAGATGTAACCACAGAAAGTCCCGCCTTTTCCTTGCTTAGTACCCTTAGATTGCTGACAGGACAAGGTCGCGGTGACGGCGTTCATATCAGAGCCCCCCATGATACCCTTAATATTTTCATATACCCCTAGGTCCCTAGGATCCCAAACCCTAAACCCCACAGTATCCCCTAAACCTTATACTTATACTCTAGACCCTAGACCCTAAAGCCTAAACCATACAGTACACCCTGAACATTATACCCTACACCCTAAACCCCTTTTTAAGAAGGATTTATATTGTTCTAAGGCTGCCTTTCATGCTTCCAGTGGTGAAGTACAAGCCCTGACCCTCCCAACTGCTACCGTGTAAGGTGTTAGTTGTTTAGCGTTTAGGGGTTCCGGGCTCAGGGCCTAGGATTCAGGGGTTTGGGGGTTAATGCCCAGGGTCTAAAAGCCGTCAACCACGAAGTTTTGACCATCGTTCTTGGTTGCAACTTCGGCCTACCACTCCAGACCCCCCACCAATGGTGATCATAAGGGATAATAGTGATTATATTCGGGGTCACCATTATATCTCTATTCTCGTGTGGGGGGAAGCAAATGCTATGGGCCACGACTGCGAGGCTGCAAACTGCCCCAACCTACAAGCAAAAAAAAAAAAAAAATACTTTGCTAGCGTCCCTAATAACCTGGTTAAGGCCCAGGGTTTAAAGGCAACAGCAATGCCCGAACTCCTGGACTGCGCGCACACCCCAGACAGCTGCAAGACCCCTAACAACCACTTTGGTAGTTTCCCTAAATAGGGGGACCCCAATATAGACCCCGATAGAATATCATCCTTATTAGAGCCCCAAAAAGGGTACCCCCAATTTTGGAACCCCCATTCATCCGAATGTCCTCCCCAGGTTCTTACTTCCCAGACCTTGAAGCAAGCTTCACCCGAATGCCCGCACAAGGCTTGTACCTGAAGCTAAACCCAGAATTCTCAACCCCCCCAATCAATCAATGCCATTTGAGAGTTTAGAAGACGCTTAGTACCTTCAGGGTGTCTTGGTGTTTAAGGGTTTCGAGCCTGACTTCGTGGGGCCGGCATGCTGCTCTTGTCCGCGTGCAGGAAGCCGCACTGGTCCCTGGCTAACGTTGGCCCTGCTTTGGCAACAAAACTGAGCTAAGTCTAAACTCCCAGTGTCCCCATGAATAACCCCTATGATAGTCCCCTGTAGAATCCTCTATATAACCCCCTTCAGGGAGCTTAGACTACAGCTCAACTGGCTTCAGGGTCTCGGCTTTAAGCTTTACAGGTCTCAATCTTTCACAACATCCTCATGGAATCCCACTCCCTGGTGGTTAGGAGACAACCACAGATATTGTAATTCCCTATTGTAATTCCCTATATAATCTCTATAGAGTCTCTATATAATCTCTAAATAATCCCTATATACAACCCCTACAACCCCTATAGTGTCCATTGTAAAGGCAAACAAAAACTGTGCTTCTCAGGCCAGGAACCCCTTGGTGCAGTTGCCTTGCTCGAAGTATTTGCAGAATCTGGTGGCCTGGATTATGGAAGGTGGGTCGGGGGTGGGGGGGGATGATTAGGGGTATGTTATGTAGAGGATATATTGAGGATAAATTGGGATAATGGAAAAAGAATATGGAAACCATTATTTAGGTTTGCCAGCTTTTGGTGTACTGCCGTCTCTTTGCCGCAGATATCCCATGGCCCACCCTTTGCAGTTGCGCAGACAACCGAACAGCCTTTTTTTGGCATTGAGAGAACTCAAATGAGGATCCTACTGCACCGTAGTCATAGCTTCAGTTTCTTGGATTACCCCAATGGGTCCTTAAACCCTAAACCCTAAATAGTAGTTTCGTCTGGGCCTCCAAAGTTCACTCCTGGAATCAAGGGTGACTAAAAGCTGCGTGCGGTTGTAGAGCTTCCTTGTACTTAGTACGGGATGTTGGTTGTAAACTTCGGCTTTTCGCTACCCATTTAAATGCTTCTTTAGGAGCTGCTTCAGACAATCCTCAACAGTACCTGCAAAGAAGAGTAGACGCTCGTTTTTCCCACCCCCCTCTAATAGAGTGCCCCCACTAGCTAAACTCAAAAATCGCAAGCCCAAACCCAAAAGCCTCCTCGTTGGAAGCTTCCATGTACTGCGTTGCTGCTAGGAACTTAATTTACTATAATAAGAAAAAAGTCCTTTTTACTATATACCCATATTACGGTAACTTAAACTAAATTCCTTAACTGCAACCCAATTTATCTGCCACACGAGCTGCTGGCTTGCTGGCCGTGCCGGGATCAAGCTCACGAAGCTCGGCGGGTCCATGTGCGTAGGAACCTCAGATAACCTATAGTCTAAACTGCCAGTATCCCCCTTAATAAATCCTATAATACTCTCCTATACAATTCCCTATTTAACCCTCTTTAAGAGAGGATACCCCTATCCCAAAATGAGGACCTTATGACCATCCTGTTAGCATCATCATTATAGGGGTTGAGTTGTCACAATTCTCTTTTGCAGATTGTAAAAGCCTTCAGAGCTTACGTCAGACTACATGGATAGCTTCAGGGTGTAAGGTTTATATGGGGTTTCGCATTCGGGTCTTCAGGATCTTTTTGTGCAGACTTTGTTAACCATCTTCCGTTACCCGGCCCGCTCCTAAACTTGAAAAGAAGCATTCATGTAGCGGGGCGCACATTTGGATTCTAGTCGGCTTCTAAGCATTATGCGTACATATACATGTACCTAGACATTGTAGGGGATGCGTTCGTCATGTGAAGATACAATGGGAAATCTTACCCAAACAGGAAAGAAGCGAACCATGTCCGGCAAACAAACATCCAATCCCAGGGTTCAGGGTTTAGGGTTTAGGGTTCAACTCCGGACTTTGAGATTGCATGTCGTCTCAAACCTCGATCCTCCTCTAACCTACTCCATAGACCTGCCACAGTTAGTGTCTCGGCTCTCAGGCTAGGTCAAAGTCTTGCAACAGAAAAATCTCCCCCTAAAGTTAACTATTCCGTTGTGGCATACTGTAATACATTGGGAATTTGGAATCTTGGGGGGGTGTTTATTGTTAGGGGGAGGGGATTATCTTGCAACCCTTTTTGGCATTGCCAAGGAGCAGTTACTCCCCTTCGTGCAGTTGCCTTGCCTGGGCTGTAAGGTGGGCACAGGGTGGCCAACCCTTTCCTGGTTTCCCGCTACGTGCACTTCGGGCATTTAAGCCAGAAGCATGCTGAATCTGTTCCTAAACCTAAGCCCACGTGCCACCAAAGCTCCAAAAAAATGCATGTGCTCCTCTTCTGCTGCCTCCCAGATGAAAGAGGGTCCCCAATATAGCCCTCAACATACCATAATCCATGCCATAGGGACTGACACAAAAAGGGGGACCCTCATTGTTGGAAACTCCCACATGAATATACCAGGAGTTTAAACCCTAACCCCAGGCCCTAATCCCTAAACCCTATTATGGGGGGTATGAAGGGGGCTACTAGGAGTTTAGGCTTTCTCTGACAGGGACACTTGATCTTCATGGCCCCAGTGCGCGCAGGCAAGATGCTCGAAGAACTTGCACAAGGACATCTTCGCCCGGCTATCCTGGCACCATTTAGGGTTTAGGGTGTAGGATTTAGGGATCGGGCGTCCGTGTAACAAAGTTTATAGCATATGTTGGTTCTAGATTGGCCCCCTTATTTGGCAAGCTTGAGGTTTCTCAAAATCAAAAAGCTGAAGATGACTCTGGGTTCAAAGTTCAGCGCGCGACTTGCACATAAGCTGCCAATGGCTATGGTTGCCTTGGACTGATATGTGGGTTCCAGAAAGTAGGGATCACTTCATGGAGGTCCCTCTCGTAAGGAGTGTAACGTTTTGGGGTATATAATGGGGCCCGCCATTTTGCGAGACTCTTACTTGGTTGCAATACTCCAAGTAGTCCTGCGGGCGCGCAGTCAGCTCCCCTTCTCCATGAGCGAAATTGCACACCTGCTGCCGCATCAGTTCTGTGAGGCGGTTCCCAACAAGGCTTGCGGTTTAGGGCTTCGGGGAGAAACGTGAAACGTAGTTTATATGGACCAGGAAGACTGTCCAGTGAGTCAAGCACCTCGCGGACGCAACAAAGATTTATGTCAGCTTCGGCTCCTTACCCTAAGCACCCCAAAACCCCTAGACCCCGAACCCCTAGAACTCCAAACCCGATTATCATGCAGCTCCTAAACGCAAGAAAACCAAACCCTATAAACACCACAGACCTTCAAACACTGCTTGTAGCTCTCCAGATGCTGAGTCTTAGCAAGGTCCGTGGGCAGAAGCACATCCCAAAGAAAAAACGATGCTTAGTCTTCGCACTACCAAAGGATCAGACGCATTCGCCCGTGGATTCTTAAATACACTAAAGCTAAAACTTGATCGCAGTCGTCCAATCTCTCATTGTCCTGCCTCCCTCCTGCACTTTCCAAGCTCCCAAAGGCGGCAAAGCTGTGTCTTGTACGGCATTGCTGCCAGAGGTGTGTGGATCTCAGAAAGTCACACGGGGGAAGGCTTTGCTGCCGAGCCACAGAAACACAGATTGATTGGACTGCGTACCATGCAGACTCTGGAAACTGTTGACCACCATGATTTGTTCATCAAAAAACTGATTGAAAACTGCATTCTTTTCGACGCTTCAGCAAAGGCTTTCGTTGCTTCAAACCACATAGGCTTGTGGCTACATGGACGTCGTGAAACTCTGCTGGATAAGAGTAACTCCACCTTTGGTGGCACGGCGCCGATGTTGTAGCATTGCTGATCATTCGGCAGCGCTTTGGCCGATGCAAAGTTCGGCGACCTCACACTTTGGTGAGGAACATGCATGTCTAGGACGGACCTTCAAGCGACTCCCGATAGAGCAGCTCAACAGTCTCCGGCAGAAGCGCCATGCCATGCCAGATCCGCACGTAAGCGATGGTACCATCCTCTGATCCAGAGACAGGTTCACTCCATTAAAACTGTTATTACTACTATTATGATTAGTATGACTATTACCACTATAATTACTAAGAATATTACAATTATTATTACTAGTACTATTTTTATGTTCAGCGACCTACCTCCCTAACTCTGCATCAGCGGAAGGGTGATTGGATTTTCCTTCAGTTCAGCTGCTGAGCAACATCCATGCAATCACATAACATAAAGTGGAGCGCTAACAAGCGGAAAACAATGGAAATGGTAGTGATTACTCCTATGCATCAGAAAAGTACCTGAACGCAATCCTCAAGACAAGAACTCAACCCTACGTAAACCCTAACTCCTAAACCCAAAACCCGGGGTCCAAAAAGTTGCCCGAAGAAAGAGACCGTCCCAGGAAAGCCTGGCGAAGGACCTTCGACGCGTTTGCTCCTCTCAGCGGCTTAGAGGCGTGAAACTCATGGGTTTAGGGTTTGGGGTTTCCCCTGACACACCCCATGCAGACCTTTTCCGTAGTTGCCTGAACAAAACCTGCTACACTCACCCCAAAAAGCAGCTCTAAACAAAATGGAACAGGGTTTAGGTATGGGGCTTACGCTTCAGGAGTTGGCTTCCAGGGTGGTTTGCTCGAAGCCTTCTCTGTCCCATAAACATTTCAGGTTCTCGGTTCAGCAACATATACACTGGAGCATTATGATGCAGTTGTGATTTCGGGCTCGTCTAAGTTACTGACGCAATGCTGGTCCCCATCTTGCAATGCAGCTAGGAAACGCGAAATGTCTCACAACACTATTTGTGTACTGTCAGACAACAGGCAAGCCTGCAGCTAGCCCAGATGTTTCGGAATGGACTAAATAGTAATTTCCATCTTATTTTCCATTATCCAATATTAATCCCTATATAACCCTCATATAACCCCAATAGAACCCCATATAACCCCAATATTATAGGAGTTTCCATTCTATTTTCCATTATCCCAATATTAACTCCTATATAACCCTTATATAACCCCTATATAACCCTGAAACCCTAAACCCTAAACCCTAAACTGGGGGTCATATAACCCTTGTAGAACCCCTTTATCCCCCTGTAAATCCTTTTAGATTACAACCAAACCAGGCCTGACCCAGACTCGTTGGATTCACTTCACTTCAAAGGAAAAGTCCAAGTCTACAAGCGTTGGGCAATGCAGCCGGTATACGAACTCAGCGGTTTAGGGTTTAGGGTTTAGGGTTTCGCAGTCTACATCTGGGTTAAAATGAGGCCTCACAATCCAAGCCCATTGTCCATGGATAAGCTTTCATACAGTGAATCTCCCAGAGAGTCCTATTCCTCCATTGATGGAGAATCAAGTGGAAAAGAAAATGGAAAATGAATAGAAACTAGGGCTATTTACCGGCCCCCAATAGTAAGGCCTACATAAATCACCCTTTTGGGGTGTTCGTATTAAATTCGATTAGATAGTCTGAGATAGATTCTGTGGCACGGAGAATTCTTCTGTGCTTAGAAGGTTATGTAAGGATTTTGGTCCACGATACGTCACTATGCACTGCTTCCCTAGCTTTACTCCAGTCATGAGCTATCTCCAGTAAAGCATGTTCAGCTAGAAAAAAATCACTATTTAGGCGAATAGGTGGGCTGAGTAGCACGGAAATTGACCTCATGCTTTCCCAACGACGCCCTAAACCCTAAACCCAACCGCCTGATCTTGCAGAACCCCTCCCGCCCTGCCAACAAAGGGAAAAGATTCTAGTATGGGTGGGGCCAGGGTTTTGACTCTCAGGTCAACAGGGCTCAGGGGTGTAGGGTTTAGAGTTCATAATTTAGGGTTTTGGAGTTGGATGTGGCCGTCCTTCAGAGATATTGCCCGCCACGCGTCCGTTGATGTACAGGGCAGTTGTACCAGCTGCCGCGGTTGCAACCACATGGAGCCACTCACCCAACGCAATTGGCTGATCAGTCATGACTCTTGAAAACTTCAAAAGGCTTTGACGAACCTTAGCAGGACAAAAGCATCAGCAAATGCTCCTTGTCAAGCATGAACATAATTTGAACTCAGAATCCCACAGAATAGAATTCCCGAACGCATCTTCATGGTTCATGACCCAGGACAGCCCCCTCAACCACTGCAGGCGGGACACGACAAACATTGTGTAGCTCATGATGGAATACAGCTCATTGACCTGGGTTGCTGTTAAGGAACTTAAATTAAGTTACAATATTGGGGAAACCCTATTATTTACTATATATACCCATTATGGTAACCCTAACCCCTAAACCCTAAATTTCCACCCGGCCTGCATAGGCCGTTCCCACCCATCACTAGGGTGGTCAGACACTGAAGATACACGTCAGCCTTTACACCCGTACTGGGTAAGACAATGGGTATGGAGAATGGACGTATAAAGCTCCTCCGGGCTCTTGCTGTACATTGGGAGGCACAGCACTGCCTCCAGCCACCCCAGTAGGCCAAATATATACAATGTACATTGATTTTCCCCTTGAAGGGAATACCCCAAACCCAACGCCAAAAGCCTCACAATGACATCCAGATTTTCAGCCTCCTTCCAGGAGAGCCCCTGGTAGGTCCTGCAAATCTGCGGGTGAGGGCCTTGAGGCCCTAGAGGCCCCTGCAGGCTGACCCTGGAGGCCCCTTGAGGCGCCTGGCCGCTGCAGGCCCCTGGCTGGAGGCCCCTGGAGGCCCGCCTGCGGCGGGCCCATCTTCCGCTTTCTATTCCTTTGAAGGGAAGCGAGAAGACGATCTTTTCGA